CCCCGGCACAGCCCCTCCGGCGCTGGCAGCCCCCCCCGGCTCTGCTCCTGCCCCCGGCGGGTGTGGGGGGGCACCGAGACCGCTTTGCACGAGTGTGTGACCACCTCCCTGGTCTGGTGGGCACCTCCGTTCCTCCGGCTGATTCACTAGATGGACTTATCACCCAGTCGTGGTATTTTAGGGACAATTCGGAGTCTCCTCGCCCTGTAAGCCTGTCCATAGGGTTAATGAGCCAGCAATGTGCCCTGGTGGCCAAGAAGGCCAATGGCATCCTGGGGGGCATCAAGCAGAGCGTGGCCAGCAGGTGGAGGGGGGTCATCCTCCCCCTCTGCTCTGCCCTGGGGAGGCCACATCTGGAGCACTGTGTCCAGTTTGGGGCTCCCCGGGTCAGGAAGGACAGGGAACTGCTGGAGAGGGTCCAGCAGAAGGCTACGGAGATGAGGAGGGGACTGGAGCGTCTCTCTGCTGAGGAAAGGCTGAGGGACGTGAGGCTGTTCAGTCTGGAGAAGAGAAGACTGAGGGGGATCTCATCAACGCTGATCAGTCCTTCAAGGGAGGGTGCCGGGGGATGGGAACAGTCTGGTTCCAGTGGTGCCCAGTGACAATCCCAAACCCGCCTGGACGCCGTCCTGTGCCACTGCTGGAGGTGCCCCTGCTCTGGCGGGGGGTGGGATGGGGGAGCTCCAGAGGGCCCTTCCAGCCCCCACCAGTCTGGGATTCCAGGATTCCGTGGTGCCTGCTGTGCTGTTCCCTGTCTCCGTGCTGAGCCTCGGCACAAGCCGGGGATCGGGGCTCTGAGGAGCCGTTGAGTGTGTCAGTTCTCCGTGCTCAGCCTGGACTCGGGGATGCAAATGCCGCGATTATGCGAGTTAGTGCTGCTTTTTATGGTGCGTTTCCAAGGCAACTGGAAATTCAGACGACCACAAACACGCACGCGGTCCTCTTCTTCTGAGACCTCATCCTCCGGTACACAGGTAAACACTCTCAGTGACATTTCCAACCTGTTCGAATGCTCGGCTGAACGGTCCCCACTGTGCCCTCGCGTGGCTGCCAGCAGCCGGAGCGGGTAATTGCCTCCGTGGAAGGCTGTAAAACCCACACGACCAGGTTTGCTTTTGTTCTTTGAATGGTTTTCCCCCCACACCTTGCTCGGAGGGGAGCGATACCAGAGGGGCTGCAAAACCAAAATTGGAGATTATGAACAAAGGAAAAAAAAAAAAACCAAAAAGTAGCAGTGGTTTGACACTTTCTGAAAATAAGATTTTTTTTTTTTTTTTCCTGGGAGGGGCGATGGAGCTGTGCCAGTGGTGGGAGGGTAAGAAAAGTTCGAGAAAGGGCAGGAGGGGAGCGGGGAAGGACGGAGCGGTTATCCCCCGAGGAGCTGCCCGGGGGGAGGCAGTAGAGGACCGCACATCTCCCGCACCCACTGCCCTCCCGGGAAGGCTCCTCCGCTGGTTTTCTTTGGGCTTTGTGGGAATAACTGTCATCTAAAATGATGGGATTAACTGTCGTCTACAATAATCTGCAAGGTGGGGATTTTCTCGTGGAATTTGGGTTTCCTTCCGCTTTGGAGACTGTCTGTGCGGGTGTTGTGCCGCTGTTTGAGCGCGGGGGGACCAGTCCTCAGGGAGGTGGCGTTGCGGGGAGCCTGGTCCTGGCTTAGCACAGCTCCCAGGGACTTCGTGGGACAAGTGGGTCTTTTGTCCTTCTGCGCCCCCCCCGTGGCACCAATTCGCCTGCGCCTTGCCGAGACGACTCTCTGCAGAGAGGTTGACCGAACCGGAATCCTTTTAAACTGATTTTAGTGCTTTGCACTGCGATGCTCTGTATTAAAATAGCATTTCAGCTGATGGGGATTGTGATCTTTTCCCCTCCAGTGCACTCATAAATACAGAAATCTCTCCTCTCTGTGTTGGCTTCCTGAGAAACTGCTGGTTTGGGGTCACAGCGGGGGAGTGCCCCGGGCAGCGGGGCAGGTTCCTGCGTTGAGCTTAGATTAAATGCACTGAGATGAAAATGAGAAGGGTAAGGACCTGGCCCGGAGCCCTGCTTTCCCGCTCACGCCAGTCTTTGCTCCGTAGAAGCGCAGGAAGAGGGATGGTCGCGGGGCTGTTGTAGGGTTTGACCTTACTGGTTTTTTCTTTCCTGTTTCAGAGGGTCTGGCAGTGGGAGTTGGATTCGGGGCTGTTGGAAAATCAGCGTCTGCGACCTTCCAAAGCGCCAGGTAAGCCACAACGCCGCTTCTCCTCTGCGAGCGTCAGGTTTTGTGCACGCCTTTGCCTCTTGGAGCTTGTCTGCCTGTCCCACAGCGCTCCCGTGCCAGGCTGGTTGGCGACGCGTTGACTGAAACTCGTCTGGAAGCGCGAGTGTGGGCAGAAAGAGCGGAAGAAATTCCTAGTGCTGTCGCGTTTTCCTAGAGGTTGTGCTTGTCGGATGTGAAAAAAGGTTTCTGTCATCGACGCCCGTTTTCTGCGATGGTTCTGCGTTTCTGCCTCGCTGGGCAGATCGATGGGGAGGCGGCAGCATGTGTGGGTGCCACTGCGGGGTGCTGCTGGGGGAGCTCGGCTCTCAGTACGTACACGCAACCCGCGTCCCTCCGGGGATTTCGGAGGTGCCGGGGGAGGCACTCGCAGCCTCCCCCATGTGCTGCTCGCTGCCGAGGGGTTTGCGTGCATCACACTGGGGGTTTTTTTCTCCTCTCCCTTATCCCCATTAAACATCCCTGGTGATGCTGCCAGCTTGGCTGAAGACCGGTAGCTGTTTCCGCGTGGGGAGCTTCACCCCGGGGGGAACTTCAGAGGGAGGGGAGAAAAACCCCCTGAAGATAAGCCTGAAAGCCAGAGCTGTGTAAGTCAGGGTGGGGGAGAGTGAAATCTTAGCCTGGGCAAGTCCCTTTCCCCGGGGCCAGCAGCGAGAGTTTAAAGGTGATTGTGAGCAAGAGCGGGTGGCGGAGGCTTGCAGGAGCCGGGGCACCCTCCTCTCCCCAGTGCCCCTGCCCAGGATCTCCGTGGCTCCCTGCAGGGACGCCGTCGTCTTCTTGTCCTCACCCTGTCGCGGCTGAGCTGGGAGCAGTGGTGGCTCCATCTTCCGCGGAGCACCGGCTCCCTGGCACAGGCTCCTCACTCTCCCTTCAGAGAAATGCTGAGGTTTTCCACAAAAGCAACATCCCCAACAGGCGGGAGAAGCTGCCAGAGCTGTTGGAAAGCGTGCGGTGGCTTTGTTTGCCGTTCCTGCCCAGCAGGGCTGATAGACTCCGTAACTGGTGGCAATGAAGACCCTCGATCCTCCCGGCCATCCCTGCCCGACTACTTCCACCTCGCTGGCAGCTGCTGTGGTTTTCGGCAGTGCCAGCATTGCCCCTGCACTCCCATGCAAAACCTTCTGTGCTTCTCTCCAGGACTGATGTGAACATGGAGGGGAATTAGTTCAGCTCCTCCAAACTGGTGTGAACATGGAGGGGAATTACTTCAGCTCCTCCAAACTGGTGTGAACGTGGGGGGGAATTACTTCAGCTCCTCCAAACTGGTGTGAACATGGAAGGGAATTACTTCAGCTCCTCCAAACTGGTGTGAACATGGAAGGGAATTACTTCAGCTCCTCCAAACTGGTGTGAACATGGAAGGGAATTACTTCAGCTCCTCCAAACTGGTGTGAACGTGGGGGGAATTAGTTCAGCTCCTCCAAACTGGTGTGAACATGGAGGGGAATTACTTCAGCTCCTCCAAACTGGTGTGAACGTGGGGGGAATTAGTTCAGCTCCTCCAAACTGGTGTGAACGTGGGGGGAATTAGTTCAGCTCCTCCAAACTGGTGTGAACGTGGGGGGAATTAGTTCAGCTCCTCCGAACTGTCTGTTGGGGTTTGGGCTTTGGGTGCATTCTCATACCAAATGGGAGCAAAACCTGTGCGCACAGGGTGGGAGCTGGCAGGGAGAGCCCTGCCGCCCCCGGCAGAGCTGGAACTGGGCTGACTGGGGGGCGTTGCTAAAGAAATGGGAGAAAGGAAGAAGTCTGGTGCGAAGCGGGAGCCGGAGGAGCCGCCTGGGCTCTGGAAGAGCTGCCGGCACCTCTCGGCGGCCGGCTCGCTAACGGCACCCTCCTGCCGAGGCTCCTCGCCCTGCCCGTACCAAACGCTTTTCTTTTTCGCTTTGAATTTCACACCCGTGGCGCACCACGGTCCCTTCGCCCTTTGTGTACCAGCCCCACGCTGTCGGTTCTGCGGTTTGGGGAGACGCGGCGTGTTCAGCCTGTGAATACCCTGCGCCGCTTCGGTCCTGCCGGAGGATCCGCAGGGTCCCAGGGCTGGGTTTGGAGCCCTCCAGGTTGTCCAGCCCCTTCTCTTCCCCGGGGAACAAGCTGTGCTCGCCAGGACCCTGCAAAGAGATGAGCAAAACCTTCGGTACCCGATGCCCTGTCACATCCCCGACTGATGGGGGGCCTATCCCGACAGCACGAGCTGGCACCGGCTGAGCTGCCCCAGGCGCTGTCACTGTCGCGGAC